TGTTCGCACTTTTTGTCACCCACTTTCAACTCGAGAACCAGAAAAGCTAGAAGGTTGAAACTTTGGAAGTATATGCCCATACCATGCGCGACCCACCCGTTTTAATTTCATCCACCTCGGACGTCTGCGTGCCGCGTACGGACGCTTTAAAAAGGTATGCAAATTTTTTGGCGGGTAAGCGATCTCGGGAACTACACCACCTAGAGAGCTGAAACTTTGTAGGGATATCCCCTGTGCATGTACTAGCTAAAGATTACAAACTCAGCTCCCAGCTGTGCGTGTTACTCATGTAAGGTGTATGAAAGTTTTAGGGGGAAAATTGCTAAGTCGGGTACCAGAAAAGCTAGAAATCTGAAATTTTGAGGTAATGTTCCCTATCGAAGTACAACTCAAGCATTTCAAATTCAGCCCCAAGCTATGCGTGGTACTCACGAAAGGACGTATGAAAGTTTCTGCAGGAAAATTACTAACTCGACAACCAGAAAAGCTGGAAAGCTGAAATTTTAAGGGGATGTTCCCTGCCCACGTGCAATTTAAAAATTTTAAATTCAGCTTTTCAGGCATGTGAAGTACCCACGTACGAGTATCTGAGGGTTTTGGCGGGAAAATTGCTAAATTGGTGATCAGAAAAGCTGGAAAGCTGAAACTTTGAGGGAATGTTCCCTGTCCAAGTACAACTTAAATATTTCAAATTCAGCCTTGAGGTATGCGTGGCTCTTACGTACGGGTATCTAAAAGTCTTGGCGGAAATTTTTCTTACTGAACAATTAAATCACTTTTAAAGAACGATTGTTAAATGGAAATTGTACATTTACTTTGCAAAATTTATGGCGATTTATGCTAGTGACTACAAAAGGTAGGTGTAAAGCAACAGCCATTCACACAGTTAATGACCTGAGTAATTCAAGTCTGGTGCAAAAATGCATGATCGCGCGGGCCTGCCCGGTGTGTTCCAGCCTGGGTTGCTTATTTTTTGTCCAATACACGAACAAATTTTAATAATCCAAATTCGACGTGTGTGATTTCGTTCGGCGACGAATTAGCTCAACCGAAGTAATATCGCGTGAATCAACCTATTGACTCCACCGAGGAACTATTGAAATATCGATTCGACTACGATGTTCCCGGACTACAAGTTAGAGGAGGAGCGTGTGGCAAACGATTTTGCAGCATTTCGAGTTTTTTGAGGCACTCCTTGCCCGTGAAAACTATTCTGTTGGCTACCAACTTGCATCTTCGCTGTGTTGCGACTTCTTCGACCGAACAAGCTTGTTTTAATTGTAAGGTAAGTACAGTATGATGAGTTGTAGAATGCATGACACAAAGCGAACAAGCGCTTAACCCAGCCGTCGTACACTAACAGTGTTCAACTAGCTCATGTTACAATTCAACCCAGGCAGAAACTCACTAGGCTTACAGTACGATCACACTTTTTTGTACTGAACTTGAAGCAGTGGGGTCCTCAATTGTTTTGAGTGGCTATTTTTTTTTTAAATTTAACTTGGCATTCATTGCCGTAAATCATTGTAAACTTCGCGAAAAAGAAACGAACGATTTCCGTCTAAAAATCATCCTTTGAAAATGGCCTAACTGTTCAGTGAGCAATTTTTCCTTTGCAAATTTTAAGTGCTTGAGCTTGAATGCCACTTATTTCTAGGGGATGAATCTGAAATCTTGAAGTTATGTGGCTGAAGAAAATTCCCCCAAAATTTAGCTTTCCAGCTTTTCTGGATCCAAGTTAGTAACTTCCTGACAAAAATTTTACATGAGAACTGTACGCACCTCAGCAATGAATTTAATATCTGCTGTACGTAAACAGGAAGCGTCTCCTTAAAATTTCAGCTTTCCAATTTTTCCGGCTCCCCAGTTAGACTTTCTCCTACTAAAGTTTTCGCGTACTCGTACACGGGACTCAGGTATGCGTGAAAGTGATACCGCGCTTCTGGGATGGTGCTCAGCTAGGGAACACACTGGCAAAATTTCAGCGTCGAAGCGCGCTTGGTTCCCGAACAAGCGCGCGCACAAATGTACATACCCACACACGATGGGCCGTCGCGATATGCTTTTTTAGTCGTTTTCGGACATTATACAATTATGTTGTGTGTCTGTGTGTATTTGTCTGTTCGCAGTGTTTGTTATCCCTTTTTAACTTGAGAACCGAAGGTAGAAAGCTGAAACTTCAAGAATTTGTGCCCATCCCGTGTGCGACCCTCCCGTTTTAACACTATCGTTCACGCACGCCTGAGTCCTACTTATGAAGCGCATCAAAAAATATGCAAAACTTCTGGCGGGAAAGCGATTTCGGAAACCAGACAGAGCAGAGGGATGTATTCGTGCATGTGTAAGCTAAAGATTTCGAATTCAGCTATCACGCATGCCTACACCATGCTTACAACTACATCGAATGTTAAGGTTAGCACCATGCCAACTCGGAAATCAGCGGCTAAACAGTGACTGAAATTATGTTGGAACATTTATCGTCTACCTGGAAATCGTATACTTAAATAGAGTTTCGAACTGCTCTTGGGACGCCCTTAAGGTTCATCAAAAACATTTGTAACGAAAAGTTGATTTCGCTTACGGGAAAAGCTTGCAAGAGTATTCCATGTTCCTGTGCGATCTTAACTCAGCCCGGAAATGCAGTTTCCTGTACGTCGACATGAAAAATTCTCAGTTTTGTTCCAAACTCAAAAGCGAGTGCATTCTGTGGATTTCGGTAAACATTCTCTTCCGCTATCTTAAGCGTTGTGAAACTTGCATTTTTGATGAACCACTGCTCACCGGAAAAGCAACCGGCCCCATTCAAAACTGAAAATCATTGGCGACGCATACCGGGCGGGCCGTGTGATTTTGAGTTTTTGCAGTATTTCGTGTTCTATTAAGATCTATTGGAATCCCTGTAGCTATAATTTGTGGTATATTTTGACCTTCGAAGTTCAGTAAGTTAAGTGTGCGGCTACGTGGTACTTAGACGGGGAACATTCCGTCAAAATTTCAGCTTTCCGGCTTTTTTAGTTGCTGGGTTTGTGATCTTGCCGCCAAAAAATTCACGGGTCCGTACGTGCGAAAAACTCATACCTGGAAGCTGGATTTGAAATCTTTGTGTTCAACGTGGGCAGGATAAAGCCCCTTAAAATCTCAGCTTCCCTCCTAGTTCCCAGTTTCCCTAGTTCTAAGTTTTCCTATTTCCAATTTTCCGACCAAAAACTTTCACGAGCCCCTACTGTTAGAACCATGCACAGCTGAGGACTGAATTTGAATTATGAGTTGTACGTGGGCTGAGAATATCCCTTCAAAATTTCAGTCCCCCAGCTTGTCTGGTTCTCGAGTTAGCGATTAGATTCTTCCGCTAAAACTTACAGATGCTCGTACGTCAGGCCAAGATGTGCGTGACAGTTGGTATCGCGGACCTGGAGTTGGCCGAAGAGCCCGCTGGCAACATTTCTGCGCTTTGTTGCCGAGTTGAAATATCCGGGCAGGTGTAAACACACACACACACAAACACACATAAACATACGCTACACTCCATGGGACGCTACAATATCTATTTTAGCATTCGCATATAAACAAAAACGCATAAAAACAAGTAATCTGTAAAATCGTGCTCCAAAAATGCTACTTACGCTTTCCGGCAGCCCAACACACTTTTCCCGAATTAGCTCACGGTCATGTTGCGATAGGAAAGGCGAGCGCACACAGGAGAAGAGCATCTCGGCATCATCGTTGCTGCGCACACTTTTCTTAAGCCAACGAATTAGGCGCTGGCTCAATTCTATCTCAGACGTTATGCTAACATCGCATCTGTAAGACTGTAATGCTTAAGGCTGATTAGATCAGTGTTTTTGTTCAGTTGTACTCTTTTTTTAGTTGTAAACTGAAAACCATCTAAAAAGAATCCATAAAAGATTGCAAGACTGGAGACATGGACCGGTGAAAAATTAATAAAAGGTAGAAATTTCAGCTGCATCTGCTACAGTGCAAGTTCCTGGGCGTCGATTTAAGTTTGGAAAAATATGTTCGAAAAATTCCATATAGCTTGATTTGCTTCATGGACGAAGCGTTTGGCGAGGCAGGCTGACGCCATCAAGCTACAGATTTTGCGCGGATGATTCAAACGCCGATGAATTCACATTTTTTTTAGCGAAAAAAAAAAAACTGAAAACGGCTTACTGACCTGCTGTAGAGCATAACGAGAACGGCTGCTGGTAGCATGTTGAAAAATGTGGAAGTGGTCACTTCGTTAATATTCTCGGCTGCGGCCTCCACCAGTGCTGACGCTTCGTTGTAATGCAGAAACATACTCCAGTCCGAGGCTACTAAATTAAGCGCCAGCAACAAATTCGATGGTGGTCCCTTCTCCACTTTCGTGAGCACATGCTTAAAATTTTGTGTTTCAAAAAAGAGTAGTAGAGAACAATAATTCCAAAGAGTACTGCTGCTGCAAAAATATTTTGCACGCGCTAGGCGTTCGATGGTGATTTGGGAAAACTATATTTTGAGACGTTTTTAGCAAATGAATATGGAACAGTGAAGTAATTCACGCAATAGGCAAACCAGGATTGTCGTTAGCAAATTGATTATCAAAAAATCTAATAAAAATTATTCCCATACTATCAGAAATAGATATAATTTTGCGAAAAATATTGAGGAAAATTGCATTTCTCAGAAACATTTTTAGTTGCTAATTGACTTTTGATTAGTAGTGTTGTGACAGACGGCGCGAAGCAAACTAGCGGGTAAGCATCCGCCAGGAAACCTGTTCATATGAACTGAGGATGACGACTGAGGTAGCAGTATTGCATACGGCTCGTAGGGCTGTAGACCTGGGAACGAATCGCCTTCAAACAACCAGGATGTCGTTGCAGCAGGGTTCGTCGGGCCACCGCTATTGGGGATTGTAGAAAAGTGACAGCATCACCACGAGTTGTCCCTCGCTAAAAAACCCAAGCCTTTCTTTTGCGTCCGTAATGTCGACCGGAGTCTGGGACTTGTTAATAAATAGTCTATTACTGACCAGGCCAACAATAGTTAAAACCAAAAAAACCGAAATTAACAACTAGGAATACAAGCAGGATGTGATGCTAACACGCAGCTTGTGCAGCTTTGCTAATGTCTTACCTCGAACTATCCCATCCAGTACCGCAACAAAAAGAAAAAAGCATTCTGACAATTGTTGCTGTATCTGTGATAGTGGCGAGCACAACCCCTTTAACTATACATATGTCGCCTGGATAAAAGAGCTACTTCTCAGGACGTGTTCTCTAGGATGCAAAATAGGAATCAATTTTCTGACCTGCTTGCGTTCTGGTTCGTGGCCTAGGAGTCAAATTCATTTTAATGTTGCTGCTTAACGCAAAAAAAGTTGAAAATTTTAGGAGATTACTTCTTGACTAAAAAATGTGGAAATATTTTGAAATAAGATTCTCACCTGTTTTTCATTATACGAAACCAGGTTCAAGTTCAGGCTTACATGGGACTAAAGTTTTAATGAGCTGTTTGAAGTTGGACTGCTTGAAGTTGGAACGAGAAGTTGGAACGATAACGAACTGCTTGAAGTTGGAACGAGAACATAGAAATAAAGGATGGAATCAAAGCTCATTCTATGCAGTATGCGGCTAATTTTGTAAGTGCAGATTCTTTGTGCTAGATCATCGCAAGAACCTCTCGCATATCTCGGCATGTTTCGCCACAAACTGCTTAGCAATCTTATTATTAAGACTTTTACTGAAACTAACTGAGGGGTGGTATACATACACTGACCAGGCGGTGGGCACTAGGCGGAGGAATGCTGCTTAGGACCGACAGGCTTGGCATATCTGAGCCTGGTGTATGAGAACATCCCAGTACATTACTAGCGGAAGGTACCCACGCGGATGCCCCTCTCCCTTCAGTTTTGGTATTCTTGATATCAATTAAAACGTATGACTGCTCTGATGCCCTACTAATTAATGCTATTTATTCCGTCAACACCCGGAACATCTGACACATTTCCTGAGAAAAGAAACGGAGAGAAGGATGCAACTCAATTTGCTGAGACGTACTGCGTAACAGCTAGCAAATTGCGTAATTTAACACGTCAAAAAAGTAGACCTCGACGATAAGGTCAGTAAGTTGACGCATACGGAAAATACGTGCAAGCTGAAGTAAATCAGGCATAATGTTATCATCCAGACGCAAATTGCGCTGATCCACACCGGCAACGAAATCAGTCATGGTACGCACCGCACCGATATTGTAGCAGGACAGATCAATCGCCGGAGGCACCTCCCTGCGCTCCATCAGCTAAACATAACTTTTCACAGAATGCTATCATAACGGATCCTGGCGATGAAAATACAGATATAGCAGAGAACTCAAATTTGGAAAAAAATCGCTTGGTTCGGAAACGTCTGAAAGTCGTCTTTTTTAAACATTTGAATTGCCGTCAGTATTTCAAGTTCAGCCGCATTACTGTCCAATTTAAAATATTTCGAACAACACATCGTTCAATTCCGAAAACTTAGGAAGCTGATATTAATGGAAATGCAATGCGTGTGGTCTAAAAC